GAATTGGTTGCTTGGTACAGAGACCGTATAACCAAACAAAACATGACTACTAGCAATGGTATTTGCACAACTCAGTAATGTAGTCATCTGTCACTCATCTTGGTATCAGTGTGTTTTCCTATAAGACGTATACTTAAGGGCTGATACTTTTTACAATTGCTACTTTGAAATGTGTATTTGTTATCAGTAGAGTTAATTTTACTTGTTTTGTGGTTATAAAAAAAAAAAAAAAAAAAAAGGAAGACGACCAGAAAATATGCTTTACAAGCTTATTGTTCCTTCAGAAAATTCTCAAGGAAATATTGTGAAGCCAGGTGACTGGGCAACAAAATGGCAGAACTTTGATAAGTGTGAAGTAATGCACATTGGAAAACATAATCCCAGCTATATTTACAAAATGATAGGGTCTAAATTAGCTGTTACCACTCAAGAAAGAGTTCTTGGAGTCATGGTGGATAGTTCTCTGAAAACATCCATTTAATGTGCAGCGGCAGTCAAAAAGGTAACAGAACATTAGGAACTACTAGGAAAGGGATAGATAAGACTGCAAATATAATGTTACTATATAAATCTCTGGTATGCCCATACCTTGAATACCGGGTGAAATGCTGGTCACCCCATCTCAAAAAAGATATATTAGAACTGGAAAAGATGCAGAGAAGGGTAACTAAAATTATTAGGGATATGGAACAGCTTCCATCTGAGGACGAATTAAAAAGACTGGGATTGTTCATCTTAGAAAATGGGAGGATATGGTAGAGGACTATAAAATCATGAATGGTGTAGAGAAAGTGAACTGGGAAGTGTTATTTACCCCTTCACAGAACACAAGAAGCAGGGGTCACCCAGTGAAATGAATAGGCAGCAGGTTTAAAAACAAACATAAGGAAGTACTTCTTCACACAACACACAGTCAACCTGTGGAATCATTGCCAGGGGATGCTGAGAAGTCCAAAACTGTAACAAGATTCAAAAAAGAATTAGATTAACTCATGGAAAATATGTCCAGCAATGGCTATTAGCCAAGATGGTCAGGGACAACTCCATGCTTTCAGATGCTGGGAGTGGACAACAAGGGATGAATCACTCAATGATTGCCCTGTTCTGTTAATTTCTTTTAAAGCATCTGACATTGGCCACTGTCCGAAGACAGGATACCGGACCAGAGGGACCATTGGTCTGACCATTCTCATGTTCTTATGGCTAAGCTCACCCCTGGAATACTAGCATTTTATGACAAATCCCCCAGTGCATTATTAGCTCCCCAAGTTAAAAAGAGCGTGGACCAAAACTTAAATATCTTACCAATAACATGAATAGTAAGTCACTTCAAAATAGATTTTCCAAAGTTCTCCATACTGGAAAGGCGAATATGCTATAAGATACTGCAGATGAATTAATTTCTGAATCTCAGAATTCATATTCACCACCTATTCAGTTCTTCTGCAAAGGAAGAAGTGTTTGACAATTGTGCCCAGCCTGATTAGGTGGTCACACCCACCAGAGTATAAATATACTGCTTTGGATAAAAATGTATTAACACACTGAATCCTATTTTCAGAATTACATTCTGCATAGGAGAGCGGTATCTTACAGCCAGTAAGACAACAGATCCCTTCAAAAAGGCTTAGAACCAACCATTGCCATTGGTGCAAGACACCCCTTTTCAAGATATCTACCATCTTGAACTAAGAGGAAAGCATCTAAGAGCACTGTAACACATCTGGTAACTATAATATTAGTTCTCTTCCTCCAAGGAAGCTGCAGTTTGCTAACAGTAGTTTAGAGCACCCATGTAATGATTCTCCATCTTGCCACCTCAAGATAGTAGCCTTGTCAAAAGAGAGATTCATTTGCTAAGAGAAAAAGTATTGCACACAGGTCTGTTTTCCAAGTTAACAGTAAGCGAGCTAGCCAGATTCCTCTTACATCTTTGCAGAGCAAGACCTAGAGGCACAGAGACTTATGCACATGTTTAACTCTTTGCTGACAATGTTTTTCCAAAAGTGATAGAAACAAAACCCACTGGCTTCTTTATTTGGAGACCACTGTGCTAGGAGTAATTCAGTCATCAGGGGGCACTATCAGGTACTTTAAACCCAAAATGTGATTTTACAAAAACACACACAACAGAAGTGTTGGCAACGACAGCTAGCTCAGTCGGCAGAGCATCAGGCTCTTAATCTGAGGGGCCAAGATTCTAACTCGTCTGGGCAGCCAGCTTTTTATTAAAAATAGTCCTGCCTTGAGTGCAGGAGACTGGACCAAATGACCTCTTGAGGTCCCTTCCTGTCCCACACTTCTATGATTCTAAGTGTTTTCATTTAAAAGATAGTAGTTTGGGAAGTAAGAAGTCCCATGGTGTTTGCAATGCAAGCATTTCCATACTGTGATAGTGCATGAAAAAGTAAAACTGAAATCTATTATTATTGCTAGAGCTGAGTGAAAGAGTAAACAGCATAAATATTTTCTAAATCACACAAAATTGGCTTGATGTCTCACAAGAAAAAGACAATCAACACCAAAGAGCAGGTCACATAAAATCTAACTTTGACTAGTGCAGGGCATAAAAGGACAAGTAAGGGGGGCGGGAAAGGCAAACAAGAATTGTAATAATCATTTACACACATATTGAAGGAGACATTAAAAATGCAAGTTTGATATTTTATTTTACTTTCAGCCTGATTGTTGCCTTTTTAAGCTTTTCATTCTGACATGTTACAAAAAAAGCCTTTCCAAGGGGACTCAGGATGTTAACACAATCGTACACACTTAGCACTTATCTACACAATTTTTGTACTGCTTTAACTTCCTCAATTTAGAAACAGATCTAGTTAAAGCAGTAAGACCCACTAGTGTGGATGCAGTTGTACTGGTATAAAGGTGATTAGATCACAAGCAGCTATATTGGTATAAGCACTTTTATACCAGTATAACTGCATCCAGACTTTAACTTCACCAATTTCTAAACACAAAGTTAAAGCAGTGCAAAACTGTGCGCAGACTATACCTTAGCCTTTTCCTCCAGAAGAAATCACCGTTCATCTATTTAAAAAAAAGAAAAGTAGCACTAGACACCGATGACACAACCCACACCCTAGGGATAACTTTCTTAAATGAAACGTGGCTGAATACATATTCTCCCAAGTGTCACCATCCATCTTCTTAGTACAGAGAATGAAAACAAAACAAGCCCATGCCATAATGTGACTACTACTGCACACAAAAAATACAGCCCAACTTCCCTTTAATCAAATCAAATTTTGACATCAACTCCTGTCACAGCACTAAGCTTCCATTGACGTTTCTAAAGGCCTATTACCCCAGTTTAAAAATATGTTATCAAACAGGAGGGTAGTTTCATAGTGTACAGACATCTACATCACATAACCAGTATAACTGGTACGATTTATTGGGAGTTGAGAATTGAATAGATAAGACTGGGTTACTCAGATATGAGCCCTTAAGGGGAAAAAAAAGTTGCCTTGCCAAATGAGAGATGGCCCTGGAATAAAAGCCATCAACTACTTTTCAACATTGCATTTGAGTTCCCACCCCACAGTAGTCATACTACTGAAAGCCACTTAATAGAAACCAGTTGGAACTGGGATTTCCCAGATTATTTTATTTTCATGGTTCACACAGCTAGATGCAAGGAAATATCAGGAGTGGAAGGGTATTTTTAAAAGTAGTCAAAGAAAGATCGCATCTGTCACACATCTACAAGTGATTTATTGTGTCGTTTCCAATTTAAGCCAACAAATTTAAAATAGAGGAAAATATATTTTAGCCATTTTCCAGCTTCAATAGTCTATTCAACATGACACAGGGACAAACTAGAGCAACCCCAAAAGATACATTCATGTATCATACGCCTTCCAAATGTAAAGTTTTTTTTAGACAAGTAATTTGCAAGGACATAACCATAAATGTGACAAACTAACAGCTTATAAGGAACACAATGTTCTCATCCATGCAGAGCATCACAATCAGAATGTGCTGTATGCCACATGGCCCAGACCCTGGCTGTCTCACAAAAGGGTTGTCTGAATTTGCCCTCCTACAAAAACGAACTGCCAGAGACAGACCCCATTTAAGCCAAAAAGGCAACAGAATTTAGCAGCGGTTGCCCAGGTCTGTCCTTCAGGATGCCCTGGGCACTCGCTGCATATAGAAATCTGTCTCCAGGATCCCAGCTACCGACTTTTACTGGCCTCCCACCATCAGTGCACATAGACTTGTGTCTGTATGTCTAGTGTATTTAGACAGGTTTAATTTTGCGTAAAAATCTCCCAAGGCTTAACAAAAATTAAAGATGAACGTAAATTTTTCAAGCTGTAGGTGTTTGGTGGGTTTTTTTAAACATTTCAATGGAACAGCTTTTGTTTGGATGCAAACCTTTCCCTGCAGTGTTTGCAACCCAAGTCTCGCAGCACTGAGCTCATTCACAAGAGCCAGAAAGTGAAATGGACGATGAAAGTGATTAACCGGTTCTCGTCTCCCAAGCTAAATTTAGGGCTAATTATGTAAACCCACACGAATAGTAGATCGCTTCCCTCTCCAAGGACGGTTTTTTGTTTGTTTGTTTTTAAATCTGTTACGCTTGCAATGCTCCTTTTGAGACAGGGATGTACAGAAAGCTTGAAAGCGGGCCTTCAACCTCCAAATTTTCCGAATATCACCCACCCTCCCCCAGGAAAGTCAACCAGGTTGGTGGGAGGGACAAATTCTCTCGAGGAGGGTCCCCCAAGTTTTCCACATCGATCGGCCGCCTCTCCGTAGACAGGAAGTCGGGGGGAAGGGAAGCCACGTTCCCGCATGGGTCTCAGATTCCTCAGCCTAGCTACCCCTTCCTCACCCTGGGACGGCTGCCCTGAGGGGTCCCCCAAGCCTTCTCCTTCCATCCACTCCCCCATGGACGGGGGGGGGGCACCCATTTCCCGACTTCATCTCAGGCCTCTCCCCCGCCCCGGCCCCCGACTCCCCCCCCCCGCACTCACTTTCGCTTGTACTCGTCCCTCTCCCGCTTGACTTTGGCCAGCACGTTGTAGAGGGCCCGGATCTCGGGGGTGATGGTGTCGATCTGCACCCCAACGCCGTCCGGGTGGACCCAGGAGACGCCGGGCCCCTGCAGGGTCTCCAGGCCGCCGCCGCCGGTGCGGCGCACCTGGGTGTAGCTCCAGATGGTGCCAGGCAGGCGGCCGTAGTGCTGCGGCGGGGAGGCGGCGGCGGCGGCGGGGCCGGGCGGCGGGGCGCCGTGTCCGGGAGCCGGGGGGCCCGAGTCCGTCTGCACGGCCTGGTCCCGGGAGAAGGTCTTGTAGCGGAAGCGGCGGTCGCGCTCGCTCTGCTGCGCCTGCAGCTGCTTCTCCAGCAGCCGGTTGCGCCGCTCCAGCTCGTGCACCTTGGCCAGGAAGCAGCGGAACCGCACGTTCAGCCCCTTCAGCAGGTGGATGTTGGAGCCCAGGTCGTTCCGCAGCGCCGTGGTCACCGGCGGGGGGGCCGCCGCGGGGCTGCCGGGGCCCAGGGCGCCGGGGGCCGGGCCGGCGGAGAAGGCTCGCGCCATCTCCCCGAAGAGGAGCGAGTTCATCATCCTCCCGGCCGGGCGCCCTCGCAGCAGCGAGGGGGGCGGGGGAGAGACGGGGATCGGGATCCTGCCAGCAGCAGGGGGCGGGTATTTACCCGGCTCGCGGGGGGAAGGCAACCGGAAGTGGCGGTTGGACGGGGGAGGGGGGAGGGAGACTATGTCTGAGGTAAAAACCGCCCAGGGTCGAGTCCCTCCCGCAGTCCGGCTGTCTCCGAGCGAGGGGGGCGCCCGGCCTCGGCTGCTCGCTCCTGCGCCAGCCGCCACTGCCGCATCGAGCGCCGCTGCCCGGCCACTGACTGACTGACTGGGGCCGGCGACGCGGGGCGGGACTCGGCATCGGCCCCCGCGCCAGACACGCCCCCCTCCCTCCGGCGACCGGCTGCAGACACGGCCCCGCCCCCTTTCCACATAGCCCCGCCCCCTTCCTCTTCTGCCGCGTACGCAATGCCCGGCTGGCTCCGCCCACCCGCACGCCCCGGCCAACGCCGTCTTTTCCGACACGGCCCCGCCCCTAGAGTTGTGGCCCCGCCCACACGCGATGGCTCCTCCCCTCCCCGTGCCTTTTCATGTGCACGCGCTAACTACCTCCCTCCCACTTCCCTGCCCCAGGGGCACGTCCCAGCTGGCTGCTGCCTGGAGCGGGATGGCTTGAGCCGGGTTTCCCCGTGATCCTGTGGGGAATCTGCACCGTAACCCCCTGCCCACAGCCCAGGCTGCGCATGGCCGGGGTACACAGCCGGTTGGGGTTCACAAGGGGCAACCAGCACCTGCTTTCAAGAGGAGGGTCCAGAGCTAGGGCGTTCCCATTGGTTCTGCTTATGAACAGCTGCAGGGAACACTGACCATGTCCTTGATCCCATTCAAGCCTGAGATCCATTGAGGAAGCCATCCAAGCCATGTGTGAGGAACCATCAAACACCCCTGCCCCAGGAGACATCTAGCCTGCTGAGCACCACTACCACTCTTGGCTAGAAAGAGGTTACTATGATTCCCCTACCTACAGGGGCTGCCCTTATAGTTGGCTAGGGGTACATCTCCACCCCATGTGGAAGTGGGGATCAGGCCACTAAGTGCCTCCCACTCAAAGGTTGCTGATGTGAATCCCAGGGGAATCAGGGATGCTGGAACAATTTGTTCAGTGGGGATGCTGAGAGCCATTGAACCAAACTGCCTCAATCACTAATTAAATACGAGAGAGGCGGCTGAGCAACCTAGGTATTGTGAAGCCTGCATGGGATTCAGGGCCTTGAAAAGCCTCTTGTTTTGGTTGTGCTTTCCTGCCCTGCTTGGAAGGTTCACTAGAAACAGCTAGAGTTCCCCTGGCAGATGTAAACAGAGCTTCAATAACTAGGCTGTGATTCTGCCTAGTGCATAATTAAAATCCAGGCAGCCTATTCTTCTATCTGCAAAAACTGGCCTTGCTTATGAAATAAACATTTCCCCCATTATTTGCCTTCTGCAGTGCCAGCATGCAGTTGTATTAGTAATTGTCTCCCTTGTGCTTGGTCTTATCCTATAAGAATGCTTAACAGGACATGGATTTTTTTATGGTACTTCATTGTTACAATTTTGAAATAGGAGGAGTGTTTGGAATTATCACACACTAATATATTCTAATAATACACACTGAATTGCTGTTTATTGCTTTAATTTAGTCCCAGTATTTGCTGTTTTGTGGCATTGCCTTCCGGATCCAATTTTGGAGTAGACATGAGGGCGCACCTGCCTATATTAACAATAGGAATGGCATGTTTGCTTTCAAATTGGCCACGGACATGATCCTGTTCCCAATAAAGTTAATGGGACCTTTTGCCTCTGAGGCCAGAAAAATGCTTCATGCTGCAAATAGGCCGCATTGGGAGTTGCCAGTGGTCAGGAGGCATTCAGCATTTCACATAATCATGCCCCGGAAGGGTTGGTTTACATAAGTCACATAATAGGACTGTGGTCTATGAAAGATTTATCATACTTCTCTATTTAAGTGTTAGACTTGTTACAATTATTTAATTAATAAGATTAGATTATATAATGACATATTTAGTTAATATTTGTATAATACTTTGAGAGTGGGAAGCCTTATTTGCCAACTAATATTGATATTATACTATTACAATTATGTTATTATTAAATAAACATTCCCAACTGCTGCAGATCTGTTATCTCCAGATGATCATCTGAGCTGCTCAAAAATCAGAGGGATATTGTTTATACATGTAGTACCATAGGTGTGCATGACACTTTACAGGAAAATAAAAACCTTAGGAGCCAGGTTTTGATTTCACACTAGTATCATTTTGGATTTATTTAATTAACTTTAACAGAGTTAGCAATCTTAATCCAGATTTACTCCATTGTAAATAAAAGCAGATTTTTAGCTTGGTTTACCTATTTATTTTTACTTCATTTAAGACAAATTTGGTGGCAATATTAATATTTTTATTCAGCTTCTTGTTTATGAAAAATATATTGCACTAAAGAACTACGTATATAAAATATAGTTTCTTTATGTGATAGGAAAGGTATGTTTCAAATATTACACTTTCAAAAGCTCTTAAACAAAATATTTTCTTTGAGAAATCAAATCACGTATCATGTTGACAAGAAGACATGCTGGGTGAGAGGTTTCAAAATAGAACATGTCCTCTCAGGTGGACAGACACTCACACACATGCAGTTTTGCCTCATGCCTCACAATGCACCTTAGGCGTGCAAACATTTGTCATAAAATAAGACTTGTTCTGTCTGTTTGCTTAAATAATGATTTAGGGTGGATATGCTAAATCTGCCTAATAGGCAAAAATTACATAGCGCTGTATAGGCATTAGTAGTCACATGAATTCTCTTAAGCGTAATGTAATAGAGCATTAGATGGGATAAGTTTATCATCTTTAAAAAAGAATTTCTTTCTTGGCCCCTTATTTCACAAGCATTTTACTGATTTTTCAGTAAGCCTAGTGCTATCTGCCACATAGTGACATGACAATGGACCCTACCCAAAGTAGTATTTACACACTAAAGTCCATTCCTGCAACTCTCACACAGGGAAAGCTCCCAGTGAAATCAGGACCCCACAGAAATCAGTGGGATTGCATGAGCAAGTGCAGAATTTGCCACTAAATGACTAAATCCTGTAGCTCATTGAAGGCACTGATTGCTATGATTCTGCTGCTTGAGAAGTAGTACAGCATGTGGGGAACCTGCTCAAATGCATCAGTTTCCTCCTTCCTGATGTACTGCAGACTAGCCCTCCTTACAGCTTTTTTGCATTTAGCATGGAGGGGGCACAGAGGCAAGGTGGTGGTATGTTTCACAGCATATGCAGCAAGAAGTTAGATAAAAACATAAAATGCTCTTGCTGGAAAGTTGCACCCTAACACTACTTTATTTCTTAGAATTCAGAATGACAACACACAAGAACAGAGAGAGAAAATTGGCCCTTAGACAGAGCCACAACTCACCCTACCTTACTCTGTCCGACTGCTGCAAGGGCCAGATCACAGCTTCCATACAGAGCCCCTAACTGGCAAGCAGGACCAGGCAACCCCCCAGGAATTTAAAGTGACAGCCTCCAATTTTAACACACCACAGCTGGGACCAACACTAGGTCACCTCTAAACGGATCTGCTATCCAGCCCTTGCAGAGTTGGTAGGGGCACAGCAGCTGTAGAATTGAGGGGTTACTGCAACACTGGGGAAGGGCTGCATGGCTGCTCTATGACCTTGCAAGTGGGGAGAAGGATTCGAGTCCCTTCCAAACTCACACAGACCTCACAGTGCACAACCTCACAATACACAGGGAAGGCAGCATGGCTTAGTCAGTGCATCGAACACTGAACTGGGATTCGTGAGAAATCCTGTCCCTAATGAAATCAATGGGAGTGTTCCCATTGACTTCAGTGGGGCTAGGCTTTGCAAACAGGTTGCTTTACAAACCAAAATTTGAGACAGCTTCTTTATTTATTACAGCGGAAGCTATTTAAATTCTATGGCTCAACCAATGACTGTTTGTAAAGCACTTTCAGATCCTCAACGGGAAGGCGTTCTAGAAGTGCAGTGTTGTTATTATTATTATTCCACGTTTTCTCTGCAGCTGGCCTCATGCTCTGGGAAAAAAATGTGACGTCGTTTTGTGGATCTGATTGCGCTGGGTGGAGGCGCTGTGTTAAAGAGATGGCTCAAAGAAACACTTTAACATGATTATCTCTCATCAAATATAAAACCCAGTTAATGTATGTTGAAGTCTTGTTCATTTTTGAGGCTACAATAGAACACCTTTCACCATTTGATATTTAAACTACCCTTAACTAGAACTAATGATGTTGAGTAGCTGTGAACCCATCAAACTAAATTACCTTTGTGTTTGATTTTTTTATTCATATGGTTATTTTCTGTGTTATAATCTAGGGCTGATGATCCCCTCCATAGGGGGGGTTGAAAGGAGCCAAAAATCCATTGCTACGGTCAACATTTTGTTGGCTCTTCTCTCTAAACTCATTGAAGTCAGTTGATGCAAATTCCAGGAGTATGGGGCTCTGTGGTTGCAGGAGGACATGGCTGTGTGAATGAAGCTGGGGAAGAGCCACCCTCCATAGCAACATCAAACCTGTGGGGATTTTGCCCCTGTAAGATAATGCTGACCCTGTTGGCATTATGTTAGTGAACTTCCACTCTGTGCTGTGAAATGGGGGATGATTGTCCCAGGCATAAGTGGGAAGTCTGAAGAAACCATACTGAGGTCCTAAGGGATAGCACAGACATATGAGGCTTCCCCATTAATGTCTTGGTCCTCCATAGATGTTCAAAGATCTGGAAATAAATATTGGAAGATTTGCAGGTTCAGAGGTTCCTCTCCATTTGATGGGGAGGCAACACTACCACCACCACGGTGTAGCAAAATCTCCAAAGCTTCTGACTGACTTGTGGCCCTCCTGTGCATTTTCCCCATGATCTGGGCTCTAATCTCTAGTACTTCTGGGTGCTCTTCAGTTGCCAATTTGTGTGAATGCAGGAGACAGCATGGGAGCTTCTTGTCGTCATACCTCTGTGGTATTTCTGGAGGACAATATATGTTAGGGGACAACAAGCA